CGCTTCCCCCTGTCCTCCACACCTCTCCCGGTGTCCCCAGAGGGGCTCAGCATTGCCATTCACTCACCCAGGGTTGGGAAGAAGCAGTCCCCAGGCCCAGGGGGGGACAGGGGGGTGTTGGGCTCCGAGAGCAGATGCCGGCCGGACTCCGAGGGCAGCCTGCTGGCCACGTAGGAGAGCTGGGGCCGGGGCCGTGGCTCCACGCTGGCCGACGGCACCGCCTCGAACACGGGGTTTTCAATGCCCTGGGCGCTGCTGTGGCACAGGAGAGGAGTTGGGGTTTTTATTTCTGGAGCCCTTTTTTATCCCCAGGGGTTTGGCTGAGCATTGGGAACAGGGAAGCAGGGCAGGGAGAAGGTTCAGGGAGCAGCTCCTGAGAAGGTGGCACCACCTCAGCTGAGAGCCAAAGGGGAGCCCAGTGCACAGGGAAAGTTTAGCCAAAGTGGTTCCAGGCTAAACTCTGAGTGCAGGGAGACACAAGCCCCTGAAAAACGGAAGGAGGCACTTCCCACATGGAGAGAGGGAAGAGAAACAGTGATTTCCCAGAAAGGGAAAGGACTCAGGGCGTGGGTGACACTCTGCTGGGGTATGTGCTGGCTTCAAGGGGAAGGCAGAAAGGACGAGACCTTTGCAGGGTGTGGGATTCAGGCTGCAGGGGCGTGTGAGGAGCTGGGAGCACGTGGCTTTCCTTACCTATCCATCCTGACAAGCTCGTGGGCACCTGCCAAAGACAAAATGTTTGGGGTGAGTGCTGGCAGCACAAGGCCCAGACCCACTGCCAGTGCTGGGTGCTGATGCCTTATCCACCTCCAATTCCTCCTCTCCCTTTGCACTGCTCCCTCCCTCACCCTCTTCTTCAGGCCTCTGCTTTGCTCCCAAACCTCCTTCCCTGCATCCCTGCCCTCTCCCATCTCATCCACTCCCCAGCCCAGCTTCCTCCCAGACTGAGACCACAGGCTCCAAAGAAGGGGAAGAGGCACCTCTGCAGGCATGGGGTGAAGTGAGGTGCAGCTGCAGTCCAGCCCCACTCGTGCCCAGATGCCACCACCCAGCTGTGGCACCATCTTGGGGCTCTGCAAACACCACCTGGCACTTGGCAGCACGGTGCTAGGTATTCCCTCACCCCCTTTGCCCCAGCAGATCCCACAGCCCACCTTACTGGGCTCTGCCTGCCTGCCTGAGCTGAGATGCTCGAGTTCTGGCCCAACCTGTGCCTAAGAAAAGTGCTGTGTGGAAATAACCTGCTCCGTGACCCCTGGCAGGGCAAACCCCCCTAGATTTTGACTGCCCTCTGGGGTGAAGCAGCATCCAGGTGATGGAGGTGGGAGCTGCAGCCCACCCCTGCTAGGTGGGTGCCTGAGGGGGATGTGTGGAGAGCACAGTTCCCATTCTGGTGGCTGGCACCGTGCCCGCTGCTGCTGCAAAAGCCACTTCTCCAAAGGTCTCCTCGGAGCCGCAGAGCCGCCCACCGAGCTGGGAGAGGAAAACCACGGGGCCCCCGCTTGCCCAAGGGCTGATGAAATGGCTCTGCCAGTTGAGGTGGTGCCCCTTTCCGCTTAATTACTGAAATCTCCGTGAGCCAAGCACGGGCAGGAGCTTAATTACTGAAATCTCTGGAGCCAAGCTCAGCCTGGGATTCCAGGCCGGGGGCAGCAGAGGGGAGACCTGGCTTGCTGCAGTCCTATGGCCATAGACATGTCAGGGGTCTTTTTTAAAGAAGAGGGTGAGAAAAAGTGCAAATACTGCTTTGCAGTCAGTCAGAAGGCAAAGCTTCTGTTTCAGGTGTGCAGTGGAAGGGAGGGATGAGAAAATGAGATGTCTTTCACGGTGGATGTGGAGCAAAGGGCTCGGCAGGGAGCATCCTCACAGTCTCAGTGTCCTCCTCTCCCACCCTCCTCACCAGCAGCCTGCAGGCATGCCTGGCCCTTCCCAGGACAGCTCTGCAGGAGGCACCTGGCAGGGACCTCCACCTCCCACCAGGCCCGTGGGACTTGGGGCAGCCGAAGCAGCCGATCCCCGTGGGGCACATCCCATCCAGCCTTGCCAGGCTGCTGCAGCCCGGGAGATGAGCTGGGTGTCCCGGTACATACGTCTGCTGCTGGCAGCTTGTCTCTGCTTGTAAATGAGGAGCAGGATGAGGGGCAGGCAGAGGATGCCCACGATGCAGGCGCCCGTGGCCAGCGCGGCGGCCGTGATATCTGCAACAGAAGAGTGCAGAGGTGAATGCTCCCCCTGGCCTTCCCTTTCCTTGGCTTCCCCAGCCAAAATTGCAGGATTGCTTGTCAAGTCCATCATCAAGTTTATCAAGATCATCCAGCCCGTGTTGCCTCAGAGCTGATGCACGCGTGGTATTCACGCTGGGAAGCGCTGCCAGCTGTGGAGATAAGCTCTGAGGCATCCTGTTAGAACCCTCACCAAAGTCCTGCACTGCTGCAGGACATCCCAAGGGTTTTGGTCTTCTAGATATGAGGAGAGAAGCCCGGATAAAGGCTCCCAGCAACTTTAGAGCGCTGACTCCCAACCCACTGCCAGCCTCAAAATGCTCGGGCATCAAAGGGCTTGTTACCCACAGCCTCTGCTAATTAATGTGCCCCTGGAGAGTGTCACCCACAGAGGCTCCCAGAAAGGCTGGCAGCCTGCAGGCACATCTGTGGCCACCAAGGCCCCTGTGGGATGGCTGACAGTGAGGCTCCTTAAATCAAGGGCAGGTTCAGCTCCTCTCCTGCACCTCTATCTGAGGAAGCAGCTTCTTGCACCATGGGTCTGTGTTTTAGGAAGGGATGTTTTTCTCTTTTTTCCTGACAGGGCAGGGTGTCTCAGCACTTGAGACTGAAGGTTAGGGACAAGAAAGCACAGCTCATTGGGGACCAGGAGCTGCTTCCCTTGTCTGGGCCTGCTGCAAAGTAATTTTAGCCAAATCTGCCCATTTAGGAGCCAGCAAAGGGGGATAGAGAGAGGGACCCAGCAAGAAACCAGCTGCACAGTGAAGTGTGGGCATCTCCATGTCTAGACACAGCTCTGGGGGAGCCCCACATTGTCTGAGCACTCAAGCAAGGTTTGGGTTTCCCCTGCTCGAGGCAGAGGTGACCCAGGCTCGGGGTGTAGCAAGGGGTTCCTGCAGCTCTTTACCGTCCTGTCCCTTCCCATCTGCGTGTGGCAACCAAATCCCTGCTTGGGGAGGGGGCTCAGGTGCTTTAGAACAGGAGGGTGAATGATCCCCATGGGCTTCAGGACCATCATGTCTAGGTGATGGGCTAAAGAAGGCTCTCGTTAAGCCTGGGGATGTGCCTGTCATGCACACCCTGCTGGAGCAGCACTGGATGCCACCCTGCTGCGAGGCTGCATGTGGGCACTGGTGTGTTGGCAGTGATCCCTAGGGAACATGGGCCAGGATGGCAAGCAGCACGTTGGAAAGAGGGAATTTTCCCTTTACCTTTGCCGGTGGCAGTGTGAAATGTGCAGTTTTGAAGCCCTCCTTTGCCTGCAGAAGAGAACAGAAAAGCTTAGGATTCACTCAGGTCCCACAGAACCCCCCCAGCCTGCTGGCTGTCCTTGCCTTTTCTCCCTGGTGTTGAGAATGTCATCCCAGAGCAGTCCAAAGCAGGAGTTTCATCCTGGGAAGTATTCACCCAGATCCCTGCTGCAAGTCCCCCTTTCTCCATGGCAGCAGGGCCCATCCCTGACCATGCAGCTTCCTTTTTTTCAGTCTAAAAGAAAAGCTATCTAATGCTGCAAATCAAGGCCGGGAGATGCCTTTCCCCTCCCTCATGCCTCTCCCTCTGGGCTGCTGTCCCAAGGTTATCTGTGAGCCCTCACTGGGGCTTGCACCACCAGCCAGCTCCTTTTAAGTTGAGGCTTGTTTTTCTCTCTGCCAGAAGGAGGTTGAAGAAGATCAGTGAAACTATGTACCATGGATTTTATTGCATTCCAGCCTCTCGAGTTATTAAGAATTTTTTTTTCCTTCTTTTTTTTTTTTTTTTTAATGTTCTGCTGCTCTCTAGCCCCAGTTCAAACCTTCAACATCTGCTGCTCCTTGACTTCTGGAACATGCCCTGCACTTCCAGCATCAGCACACGCTGCATCCCCCACCTCCCCTTCCCTGGCCCTGTGCCCTGGCATGGATGCAGGGCTGGCAGGGGCTCCTTTTCCCCCCTCACCTCGCTGGATCTGCAGCTCCACGAAGCCGTGAGCCACCTGCATGGTGTGGGGCTTGCCGTGGCCTTCCCTCCTGACCTCCACGGCGTAGCAGCAGTAATTCCCACTGTCCTGCAGCGTCAGGTTCATCACCACGATGTGGAAGGCGCCGTGGTGGTCAGGGACAAACTCCACACCGTGGTGGCCGCTCTGCCGCCCAAGGGGGGATTTTTGGGAGCCATTGCCCGGCAGCTCGTGGTGCCTGCTGAGGTCGTGGTGCAGCTCCCTGTCGGTGACGTTGCGGATGTGTCTCTTGTCAGAGCAGCTCTGGTCGCCGGTGCTGCTGAAGTACCAGGTTTTGTAGAGCAGGTCGTGGCGCTCGGCCAGCGGGCCGCTGATCCGGCAGGTCAAGGTGACGTTCTGGCCCTCGGGACAGACGCAGAGCGAGTACGGGGTGGTGATCAGGAAAGCTGCTGCCCCTCCTGCCAGGGAGAAGGTACCGAGTCAGAGCCTGGCTTTACCCTCAGCTTGCAAACTGCAAACCCGCCACCAGTGCTGGCAAAGCAACCTGGCACAGGGTGCCCAGAGAAGCTGTGGCTGCCCCATCCCTGGAAGTGTCCAAGGCCAGGTTGGAGAGTGCTCTGAACAACCTGAAGTAGAAGGAAGTGTTGAAACTGCATGGTTTTTAACTCCCTTCTAACCCAGACCATTCCAGGATTTTGTAGCCGGGCTGGGAACACAACTTCACCCTGGAAATCAACTCTGCAGGAGAGACACGCTTGAAATATGGTTAAGCATCAGCAGCAGGGAGGCAGAAGCTCCTCTGGGGCCAGCAGAGGTGTGGGGCAGGGAGGCAAACGAGGATGAGAGGAGAAGCAAGGCAGAGGGGTTATGGCTTGTGAAGGAGGAAACACAAGCACTGCTGGGCCAGCTGCAAGGGAAAAATAAAAAATAAAAAGGAGCAAAAACAAACAGAAAAGTTCTAGGAGGAGCAGTGGCCCCCCTTCTCCCCCAGATGAGGCGGGGAACAGGTCCCACCCTCCTTGTTTTTCAGCCCCCAGGGAGGAAGTGGGGGAACTGGCTGATGCTGACAGCGAGGAGCTTCTGGAAAACGACAACAATTTTCAGAAAGGAATTCTGGAACGTGGGCAGGAGGCATGGCAGAAGTGGGAGCAAGGGGCACACCGTGGCATTCCCAGCACACAGGTGGGGGGAACTGCTGGGCAAGGGCAGCTGTGCATGAGCAGAGGGAAAAGTGCCAAGACAGGAGAGGTTTTGCTGCTCTGGCCCTGCCCCTCCTTCACGTTTGCAGAAGTGCTTACGTCACTTCAAAAGCTGTAGAAAAAGCAGATTCCGTGTTTATTTACTTTGAATTACAGTGGAAAAGAGGTTTCTGAGGCTGGTTTGCAGCAGAGAAGATGTTATAAGGGTGAGATGGGTTTGTTGCTTCTTTTTGGTTTGTTTTTTTTTTTATTTTATTTTGGTAACATCCTGTTGTGCCATTATCTCCACCACGTTTCGCTTTGAGGTTTCTCGCTTGCTCTGTCGAGAGGGCGTCAGTCACAGGCGGGGCGTGATGTGCCTGCCCAAGAACCAAGCCAGCCCAGGGGCTCCACACTGCTGGGCCACCCCGAGAGCGTCCTGGCAGTGGAGTCACTGTGTCACCTGCTCTGCTGGAGAGAGTGAAACCAAAAACGTGCCTTCCTCCCGCTGTGGTTATCTCTGACGCGATGCTGCATGAGCAGCCGCGAAGCCCCTGTGCCCTGCCCCAGGGTGCTCTGCAGGGAGACGGAGCCCTTGGGAAGGAGATCGGCCCCACTGCACTCCCTGCTCTGGAGCCCACAGTGCCAAGGAGTCCCCAGAGCCAGGGATGGCGTGACCTTTGCCTGGCCACTCTGGCTAATTGCTTCCTGCTCCCCACAGCAGGTGCAGCAGCTCGGAGCTGCTCCGGGCCAGAGGTTCCTGTGGCCTGAGCTCAGTGCTGCCTCGTTCAGTCTCCTTGGCAAGCCCTGACTTCTCCTCACCCTTGGGTGCTGCTGGGGCCAGGATGCACAGCCAGGCTGGATGGGTTCTGGCAGAGCAGGTCCCCCACCTCCTTGCCAAAGCGCCGAGCACAAAAGGCACCTCAGATGCGTTTCTCGATACCTGCCACAAAGGGGAAGTGCCCCATTCACATCGGGGCTCTCCTGGGAGCCACAGGAAGGGAAGCCAGGGCTCTATTGGAGGAAGCCACACTTCCAACACCTTCCAAAAGTATCTGCAGGAGCCTTTTGTTTTCCACACGCCCCCCTCAAGTGGAGTAGGGTCGTCCCGCTCATCCCCGCACAGGCTGCGAAGCGCTGCCTTGCTGAAGCGTCCAGCCTCCACCTCCGGAGCTTGATGGGAACCGTCTGGATGGAAAGTCAGCACAGCCCACGCTTTCGGGGAGGGGCAGAGGTTACCATGTGTGCAACCTTCGGCATTGCAGGCTTCCCTTCCTTCTCCGCAGCGGGGGAAGGCTCTTGAAAGCCACGGAGCGGAGGAGAAAGCAGCTGGCAGGGCACGGTACAGCCCAGAGCGGTGCCAGGGCCCTTGGTGCTCCCTCCCCAAGATGTACCCAGGCTTCAAACACGTGCTGGATGCCAGATGGAGCCCAGAGGAAACATCTTCTGGTGGTGTCTTTATACTAAAGCCCATGGATCTTTAATCTCCTGGGCTTCCTCTGTGCCCAGAGCGCAGGCTTGGCTCTTTCCACACCCCAGTCAAACCATTCCCTTTGAAGTCAGAGCTGCTGGCAAGTGCCAAAATAAAGCCAGATGCCCATCTCTATGCATCTCCAGCTGGTTGGACCAGTTGAGGGCTGAGCTGAGAGCTGTTGTCTTGTCACCATCTGGTAAAGGCAGAGGAGGCCTCAAGCAGGTGCCAAAAGTGCCCCTTTTCCTCTTTGGCACCTCAGTAACTTCATCTCCAAACGGTGGCGTTGCACCGGTGAGGTGCAGAGCCCAGTGCAGTGTTGGTACATCCCAGTGCTGGCATCACTCTCTTGACACCTGAGAGCTCTGCTTTCAGACAAAACAGAAACACAAAAAAGTGCAGAAACCTGACCTGTGCTGCTTGGCCAACCAACAGCTTAAATAAATCAGGATCTCACACCAAATTCTGGGTCAGTGACCAAGAGCCTCTCCTGGCTCCTTCTGCTGTGTTTGGTCCCCAGCCCTGGCAAGCAGGTGTTTGCTCTGCACTCCTGTGCTTGCCAGAAGTGATTTCCACATCAGGCCGCTTCTTTCCACTCTGAGGAAATCTGCAGGGATCAGGGGGATGGAGCCTTTGGAGGGGCTCACCTGCTGCAGGGGAGGGGCTGCTGGAGACAGAGGTGGAGCAAGGAGCTCTGCTTTCCTCCTCTTCACATCAAAGTGCCCCAAGCCCCATCGTCACTGAGCTGTGATTATGCCCCAGAGTTATCAGCCAGGTGAGATGTGCAGGGGCGTCCGTGGCTCTGCAGAAGCACCTCGAGCACAAGAGAAAGAGGAGAGAAAAACCTTGCTGAAGATGCCTGAGACATGTTAGCAGCCCTCATCTCCTGCACCCCAGGGGCCAAATGGCTTTTCCAGCAGTGGGGGTACCCATCATCCAGGCAGCGGAGGGAGCAGCCTCGGGAGGTCCTGCCTTGCTCCTCTGCCAGCACAGCCCTGGCTCAGCGACAGCACTTTTGGGATGAGATTTTGGAAAGCCCAGCTCAGCTGCCATCCTTTACGTGAAGAGGAGCCACTTCCACCTTGCTGCCACTTCCACATCCACCTTGCTGCCAGCATCCCCAAGCTGGATGTCTCCAAGGGCTACTTCTCCATCAATCCCTGCTAAAATTAGCCAGGGGTTCAGAAAGTTTTGGCAGGCGTGGGGTTGCGCAAAGCTCAGTTCCTCTGGCAGCAGCCTCACGTTCAACAACAGCATCCAAGCTCGTTGCGTTGCAGAAGGCCTGAAGCTCAGTCCCAGCACCCCAGATGCATAAATGAAATCTTTCAAATCCCTGTGGAGATACTGGGAATTGCTCCCTGATGCCGAGATTCGGATGAGAAGCAAAACGTGATTCAAGCCTTGCTGTAGCAGAGGAGAAGGGAAGGGACCTCTTGGGGCATCTTTGGGCATCTTCCTGGAGATGTGCTGGCAGAAGTCGTGGAGGCAGTCACTCTGTCCCGGGAGAGAGAGTGAAGCCAAGCCCGACGCTCATCCTCCGCCTGCGCAGGGCAGGGAGGGATCACGGTCCTTCCCAGCTTCCTTCTCTGAGTCCTTGTCCAGAGTGGAACCGCAGTTTTAATGCCACCGCCCCTGCTCCACTGCCTGGGCCCGGACGCCCGAAGGGAAACGCTGCATGCCAGGGCTGGTGCGGAGTCAGGCATGAAGCAGCCCCCTCCCAAAGCATCCCCCTGACAAGCAGCCAGCGAGCTCCCAGCGCTGGGGAGCGCTCCCTCCGGGGAAGGGGAGCTCGGCAGCCGCTCCCCGTGGCCCTGGCCACGGCTGGTTGCCCACCCGGAGCAGCTGCCCGGCACATCCCGGCGGAGCGCAGCATCCTCAGAGAGGGCTGCTCGCACAAATACCCTCTCTCCGCTCCGCCAGGGCTGCTGGAAGGGGTCTTCTCACCGTGGCACAGCCGGGGACCCCCACCGCGCCAGGGAAAAGCGCCGTGCGGGAACGGAGCAGCTTTTCCAGCCCGGGGTCCCCAGCGGGAGGCTGGCGGGGACAGGGGGCTGCTTTGCTCCCACGCATGTTAGATCAAAGCAGAGGAAGAAAGAGAAAAAAAAACACTCTCAGAGTTTTAGAACGGCAGTTCCCCTGCGGCCCCTTTTTTACCCCAGCACAACCAGCACCGTGTGAAACACCGGCTTGATCCCCCCACACGCACACCCCAAAATCACAGGGGAGGAGCGCAAACATCGCCCCAAACACCCGATTTCCTTGTGCCGGAGCTCAGCCCCGAGCAGGCGAGCACGGGTGCCCCAGTGAGGAGAGTTTCTCCGGGCAGGGAGGAGAGGAAAGCGAGCTGGAGCTTACCGTGGGAAGCCAGCAGGCAGAGCGCAGCCAGGAGCAGCCCGCTTCGGGAGGACGCTGTCCCCATGGTGGCGGGGGGACCGCGGAGAGGTGGCCTCTGCCGAGCCACCGCACCCTCTGAGCAGCCCCGCCGCGACAGCCGGACTCACACACACACACACACACACACACACACACAGGAAATTTCATCGCGATTCGCGCTGCAGAGAACAGCGAGCACCCCCCGGAGGTGAGAGGCTGCAGGGAGCACCCGCGGGTGGCGGTGCCTTCGGACCCCACCTCTTCGGACAGTGGGTGCCTCGGCTGGGTTTCTTCCCTTACGGCCTCACCCAGAGCCAGCTGGTCCCCCTGAGTGCGTTTTTGGGGGATGCTCGCCGGGCCAAGGGGCTCGCGGGTGCTGATTCCTTGGGCCGGGTCGTAACTTGGCTCGCAATCACTGTTTTCCCCTTGTTTGTGAGGATTAAGGAGGCAGAACCTCTCCTGGGATGAACGAGCGGCTGGTACAGGGAAGGGTTACTCCGAGCAGTGCCGACTTGGAAAAGGGAATGGAGCATACCCCCCCCCCAAAAAAAAATGGGAGCAAAGCATCCCCCTCCTACAGCCCATTTACACTCTGCCCTGAAATAGCAAAAGCAGCCCCGTGGTCTGACACGTAATTCCTCCTGGAGCTTCTCTTCGAATTCCAAAGGCATCAACAAAACCTCTAGCTGCAGCTGAGAGCTGCCTCGTTTCCAGTCAGCCTTTCCTGGAAAGTGGAGCCCGGAGACACGCGGAGTTTTGCAAGCCGTAGGAAACTTTGCTGCTTGCCTGCCCTGAGTCGGGAGTGTGCGGGGAAATAGAAAAGTACCTAATTACCGTGTGGCATTGTGGCTTTTACAGCAAACACGGCTGTGATGCTCCTGCCAAAAATGTAACCCTTGGCTGGCTGGAAGAGATTTGTTGCTGGGGGAAGGTGCAGGTGTGAAGCCCAAACACCCCAAGGAAGCCCCAAGCCCCCACCTCTGTGCTGAGCCCTTGTGCTGAGTGGGGTGCCACTGTCACCTCCCCATCCCCAGGTGGGGTGGCAGTCCCATAAGACAGCCAGGACATCAGGTGACCATGCAGGGCCAGGGACAGCGGGAGAGGCTCCAATCCAGCCGAGCCTGATGGGCACTGACGTTGTGGTCAGCAGGGAGGTGGTGGGACCATGGAAGGTCAGTCTGGGTGTCCAAGATGCTGGGTTTTGTTCCTCCCCTGAGCCACGGCAGCGTTGTCTCCAGGTATTTTCCATTCATGTATATTGTATTTTCCATCCATATATACCATAACTATTGTTGTTGTAACAATTCCCCAGTGGCAAGACAAGGACTCACACGCGCCTCCTCCAAAGAGAGGGACAGAGAGGTTCAAGGTCTGCTTTTCCCAGTGCCATGGGCTGCTCCCTGGTGCTGCCAGCAATGGTAAACCGTGAAAAGAGGAGGGATCCCCTAGAGACACGCTTTGCTTGGGAACAAGTGTGTGATTTAATCTCAGCACGTTTATCTCTGTACCCAAGCGTTACCTGGAAGTGAGTCTGAAGCCACGGCTCATTTCATTTGGAGCCCTGCACTCTCATTTGTGTCTCTTGGCAGTGCTGAGCCCATGCTGGTCATTGACCTTGACAGATCCAGCCACCTCCAGGGACTGCCCAGAAAATGCCTCCAACAGGGCTTAACGCCATGTCCCTTGTCCCACAGGCCACCACCATGGTGTACGTCACCGTCCTGGACGAGAACGACAACGCTCCCGCCTTCCGGCAGCAGCTCTACGAGGTGACCCTCGACGAAGGTCCCTCCACACTCAACGCCACCCTGGTCACCGTGCAGGCCCTGGATCAGGATGAGGGACCCAACGGCACGGTGGCCTACGCCATCACCGAAGGCAACATCTTGGGTACCTTCCACATTGACAACGCCACGGTCAGTACGGATGCTGGCCCCATTCCAGACGTGTCCCTGTCCCGCTCCCTTCACTCCCAGCTGCTCTCCCCTGTCCCTGCAGGGGGAGATCCGCACGGTGAAGGAGCTGGACTACGAGATCAGCCACGGGCGCTACACCCTGATTGTCACTGCCACCGACCAGTGCCCCATCGTCTCACGCCGCCTGACATCGACCGCCACAGTAAGGAGCTGACGGGAGGCAGGGGGGTTGCGACACTCTGGCCTCCCTGGGGTCAAGAGTTCCCACTTTGTGAGCAGTTTCACATCTCCTTCCCAGTGGCCACCAGCTGCTTTTCCCAGTTGCTGTCACCTTGCTCCCTTGAGGGTGTTTCAAAACAGGGTCACGCACAAGAGGCAATTCTGGGCTAGTTAGCCCAGTTATTTGGTCCTCCAAGGACATGGAGAAAACTCCTGGAACTCCTTTTAAGTTGCATTATGTTTTCTTGAGATGTCCTCTAGGTCCTTCCTGCTTGAAGTAGTAGTAGTAAAGCATTGCTACAGTGTTAATTTCAGTTTCATCTTTATCTTTTCTCTTAAATTCCCTTTTCCCTTGTAAGGAGATTATTTAAAGGCTCTAGTCATTTTTATGTTGCTTTTCTCTGTAGCTCTTTCTGTTTTCCCTGGGGCATGGTGACCTGAAGCTAGTGCACTGCTCAAAGACTGGGGAGGGCAGGCGAGCAGCTCCAAAGCAAATATTTTGCAGGAGTTGAGTACACGGATTATTTTTGTGACTAAAACCAAAATCTGACCAATTATACAGCATGCCCAGATTGATTTGGTGGTCTGCAAGTGGCAGGGATGGGTCAAATCTTATGTCTTGATTGCCCTGGACCACTGTACCTCATCCTGATATCAAGCCACAGGTTTTGTAATCTCCCAAAAGGAGATAAGTTCTTGTGTGTGTGTGTGTGTGTGTGTGTGTGTGTGTGTGTGTGAAGGGGGGGAAAAAAAAGAAAAACTGAAGGGGACATACAAGTGTGGGAAATTTCTGTGGATAAAATCTGTCCCCACAAACCTGGCAGTGGGGCTCCATGCTTGGACAAAGGGAAAGCCTTCAGATTTGTGCATCTGATACTGCCAGGGATGACTCCCTGGCCCAGGACAGAGCCGGGGTTTAACTGCAGGCAGCGAAGGCAGCGGCTGCCATGTGCTGCAGGCAAAGGCAGAGCTTCCCCTGCACTTGGCTCAAGCACAGACATGAACTTGGAAACCCCTTCAGCAACATGCACCAACGCCAGGAAAGATAGGAAACACCCTCCCTCCGCTGCTCAAGGAGTTTGTGCCAGCAAGTATGAAAACACAGCTTTTAGGAGGAGGTTTGGGGACTATTTGAGATCCCCAGTGATGGGAAGTCCATCGCCCCGATAAGGCTTGCCAGTGTTTGTTTCCTCCACTCCTAGGAAACGGAGCAGAAACTTGGATATACTCGCTGTAAAGATTAGATTTAACCAGCAACAAATGTCCATCTGGTGGATTTCACTATTCTTCAACCCAGGAGGTCAGAAAACTCCTCATTTCCAGCGTCTTTCTTGTAACCACCTGTACCACCAGGTTTTGTCGGATCAAGGATGCAACCTGCCAGCTTTTTGAAGTTTGTTCAGCATTAGGAATTAAGTATTTGTTGGAGGAAAAGGAGTGAGCCAGTGTGCAGCTGGCTGCAGAGATCCTGTGTCTCCAAACTCATGTCTGTGGTTTTGTCTCTCGTGCTTGGACGTGGATGTGGAGGACACTGGGCTTTTGCGCTGAGTTCCCCACCGTGGTGTGTGGCCCCGAGGTTCAGGAGTTTGCAGCTGGAGTCCTGCAGCGTGGCTGTAGGACGGGCATGATCAGAGATAACAGAGTTAGAGTCTCTGAGCTGTGAGCTGGAGGTCTGGTGAGCCCAGAAAAGCCAGAAATACGGGAGGTATTTTGCCATGTCACCCGTCTACAGCTTCCCACGCCCATGGCCAGCAGGGTGATCTTCCCTTCCCCTTCCATCCCTCTCCTGTCACAACCCTCACGCTTCTCACCGTGACCGCAGGTGCTGGTGAACCTCAATGACATCAATGACAACTGTCCCACCTTCCCACGGCCCTATGAGGGGCCCTTCGATGTCACCGAGGGGCAGCCCGGCCCTCGTGTCTGGACTTTCCTGGCCCACGACGGGGACTCAGGACCCAATGGACAAGTGGAATACAGCATCATCGCCGGGGACCCCCTCGGTGAGTGGGGACGCGAGGCATCACCTCTTCCCGTGGAAGAGCATGGCTTGGAGCGGAAGCGCTTCAGAAAAGCTCAGCCTGTCGACACCAGGAAATCCTGTTCTGAGCAGCAGGAGATTTAACCTGTTTGTGCCTGGACAGGAGGTTTGTGGAGGGAGAGGGGAAATCTCCTAAAGGCAAAAAGAAATTGAAAAGGCAGGAAAAAAAAGGGCAGGAAGAGAAACCGAGCCTCGTCCCTGGAACCCTGTGGGGTTTGCAGGGTGTTGGGAGACGCAGTTGCTCTCCAGCACTCACAGCTCCACCAGCACCATGCTGCAGATGGCAGAGGAGCTGGGGGCATTCCTAACCATGGGGACATCTGGATGTCCCCCAGTGAAGGGAGAGGTGACTTCGGTCCAGGGAATCTGGAAGGCGGAGCCCAGCTCCATCTCCCAGCTGACCCCACTGCAAAGTTTTTCCAGAACAAGCAGGACAAAGCCCTTCAGCTCATGGCGGGTCTGTGCTGTGTAGCCCACCCTGTACTGGCCATGCCAGGGCACGGAGGGGCTGTTGGCATCTTTGGAAAAGCCCAGAAAACAGGGACAGGCACCTCTTATTTTCCCATTCACCCTGTCCCCTGCTCCTGCTGCTAGCTGGGAGCACATCCAGTGCCGTCCCCAGCTGTCACATCTGCAGCAACGGGGCAGAGGTTTGTCCCCAGACCTGCCACAGTGCCCCAGCTCCCAGACAAGCCACTCCCTTGCGGAGCCAAAGCATGGTGGGAGCCAGGGCCCCGCTGTCTCCGTCAGGGGAATTTGTCATCTCCCCGGTGGAAGGAGAGCTGCGGGTGCGGAAGGACACCGAGCTGGACCGCGAGAACATCCCCTTCTACAACCTCACCATCGCTGCCCGTGACCGGGGGGTGCCTCCCCTCAGCTCCACCGTGAGTCCCCCAGGCTGGCACAGGGGGCTGTGGCTTGACATCCCCCGTGCCCAGTTCCTTCCCTTTTAGTCTCTTCATTCTCCTCCTCTCCACCTCCTTCTCCTCCTGCCTAGGCCTTTCCATACCACGCTGAGCTGGGGAAGCCCACCTCTTGCCCGGGGAGTGCAAGACAAAGACGGGAGGCATGGAACTACGTGCCACATGCCTGCCCTGCTTCTCTCCCCGGCAGATACTGGTGGGTGTCCGTGTGCTGGACATCAACGACAACGACCCCGTGCTCCTGAACCTCCCAATGAACCTCACCCTGAGCGAGAACGCTGCCGTCTCCAGCTTCGTCACCCGCATCCTCGCCCGGGACGCGGACCAGGGCCCCAACGCCCTCCTGACCTTTGATATCACAGCAGGGAACACAGAGAATGCCTTCTACATCAACAGCACCGTACGGCCCCCCCCGGGGGGTGGGATGCTGGGATAAGGAGGGCGGGAAGCCAGCTGTGCTGCCTGCCATCCTTGTCCTGGCAGGAAATGCCCTAGGGGAAGCATTCCTCACGTCCCATGTGGTGTTTTCTCCCTCACAGAGTGGCGTTGTGTACGTGAACCGCCCGCTGGACAGGGAGCGGGTGGCCGAGTACAGGCTGACCATCACGGTGAAGGACAACCCTGAGAACATACGCAATGCCAGGCGGGTAATTATGGACACTGCCGGCATCTCCCGCGGCAC